GTTCCTTAAAACAACGGAGCAGATGCTAGATGCAGAATCAGCAGAGTCTTCAGGGGAAGAGCCTGAGGAATCAAGGCCACTGGCTGAGGAGGACCAGTGGGACCATGATAGAGGGGCCAGTGGATGTTATGCCAAAGGCCACCCTCTGGGAACCTGCAGGTGAGACCTCGCTGCCAGCCCCAAGATAGCCACCATACCTCCACTGCACATACCTCAAACTAAGGCCCACAGCACCCCAGGATCTATCCCCTCTCTGCAGGAATGGCAGTGGGAGTGGCAGCCCAAAGGAGGCAAAGTACCAGACTGGTGGCGTGCAGCTCCACCCCAGAGCCATGCAGTGGAAAGAAGCAAACATTTTGCGATTGCACTGACCCGGGTAGCCCAGGCAAGCCTGATCTCATCAGATCTCGGAAGCTAAGATGGGACAACCCTGGCAAGTTCTTGGAAGGGAGACCTCCAAGGAATGCCAGGGCTGGGACACAGAGGCAGGCAATAGTAATCCACCTCTCTGAAATGTCTGAGCCCCACTAGGGGTCACCAGAAGTCAACCATGACTTCTAGGTATACACACACACACACACAAATACCAGGTTTTTGTGTGTGTGATTCTTCCCTCTAGAAGGCAGGCAGAGTGTGGGGCATGCATAGAGGCAGATGTTTCACTCCACAGCAAAAAACAGGACCAGCCAGACAATATTTGAGAAATCTGGATGAGGAAGGATTGGAGAACTCTTTCTCTTGGACAGTATGAGCAATCAGTGAGGGTCCAGTTTCTCATCTTATTTCTCAGCTCTAGCGGTGGGAAATATAGGTAGCATCCTGTTTATGTGTAGAGTAACTAGGTAAAGGTAAAGGTTCCCTTGCTCGAAAGCCAGCTGAGTCCGACTCTAGGGTTGCGGTGCTCATCTCCGTTTCAAAGCCGAAGAGCCAGCGCTGTCCGAAGATGTTTCCGTGGTCATGTGGCCAGCATGACTAAACACCAAGGCGCATGGAACGCTGTTACCTTCCCACTGAAGTGGTCCCTATTTATCTACTTGCAATTTCTTGCTTTCGAACTGCTAGGTTGGCAGGAGCTGGAACTAGAGACGGGAGCTCACTCCATCATGCGGCACACTCGGGTCTCGAACTGCTGAACTACTGACCTTCCCCAGCCTGCAGTTCAGTGTCTTAACCACTTGAGCCACCGCAGCTCCTGTAGAGTAACTAGTGGTGGGTTTATTTTTAAACCCAATCAGATAGTGCAGGCAAAGAGTGTTAACCCCAGTTCCTCCTGAGCTTTACTCCAGTGGTCAAAACAGTGTTCTCCTGATCTTGCTCTAAAATGGGAGGTCAATCAGCCTTGGAGAAAAATGCTGGAATCAAGCGAACACCATGGAGGAAGGGAGCCCAGCATTTAGTTCCCTTCATGCACACACTCTTTTTTAGTTTAAACACAGACCTTTCATTTGAGAATCCCAGCAAAGGAGGAAGACTTACATGCCAAGATTATCACATCTCTCTGTCTTGCTTGTCAGTTTGGTATAGTAGTTAAATGCGCGGATTCTAATCTGGGAGAACCAGGTTTGATTCCCCACTCCTCCACTTGCACCTGCTGGATGACCTTAGGCAAGCCATAGTTCTGGCTCAGCTGTTCTTGAAAAAGAGCAGTTTCTGTCAAGAGCTCTCTCAGCCCCACCTACCTCGCAGGGTGTCTGTTGTGGGGAGGGGAAGGGAAAGGAGATTGTAAGCCACTTTGAGACTCCTTCTCTTCTTCTTCTCTGCACGTGAGAATTGAATTTGCTGTAAAATGGAAAACCTTTGTCCCCTCTGTCAGAAAGTTTGGCAGAGAGGATCACTTGGTTGAGGGGTATGCTCTCCAACACCCCCCCCCCAAAAAAAAATCATCTCACTCTGCTGGGAGGAAAAGAAAAGTTTACAAGTGGAAACATGATCCCGGCTGAAAGCAAAATGAATGAATACAGAATGTAGTAGCCATTTACAAATTTAAAAAAACCAAGCTGAAAATGAGCCCAGTGAATCCTGGTATCCTAGTAATGTGAGAGCTTTGCACGAGGCAGGCATGTTATGCGTTCTGCTGTTCTCGAGATCCAGAAGGAATACAGCTGTGATGAGCAAAACAAAGGAATCCTGCAAAGTTTTTAGGTTTCCCCAATGATATTGGGAGTCCCCCTAACTCCCATTTAAGTTAACAGGCACTTTCAGCACTGAACCATTCATAGGAACCCTTTGCAACAAAGCCTTTGCCTCTGCTAGGGACCTCATTCATTTCACTCAGCTATTTCACAGTTAGGCAAAGTCATGCCACTATGGACAAAAGCATAACTCACAGGCAGTGTTCCCTCTAAGCCGAGTTAGTGTGAGCTAGCTCACCGTTTTTTAACCTCCAGCTCACACATTTGTGTCTTAGCCCGGGAAGGACAGCTCCAAAGCAAACTAATTCATGCAGGAGCCAGAACGCTCGCTCACAACTTGAATGCCAGCAGCTCACAAAGTAGAATTGTTGCTCACAAGACTCCATGGCTTAGAGGGAGCTTTGCTCACAGGATCTTTTTTTGGAGTGGGGATCAGATTGAACAGCTTGCCAAACCTGGAGATCTTTCCAACCAACCTTAAGAACATAAGAGAAGCCAATGTTGGATCAGGCCAATGGCCCATCCAGTCCAACACTCTGTCCACAGTGGCCAAAAATACCAGGAACCATCAGGAGGTCCACCAGTGGGGTCAGGACACTAGAAGCCCTCTCACTGTTGCCCCCCCCCAACCACCAAGAATACAGAGCATCCCTTGCCCCAGACTGAGAGTTCCTATCTATACCTTCTGGCTAATAACCTTAATTGCCTTTGTTAGAACAACAGGAATTTTAAGCACCCATCTTTTGTACCCATTCCCAAGAGATACTAACGGATCGGATTGCAAAGTGTTTCAGTGGCAACTATTCCCCCCTTAATCATGACTTGATGGTAGAAGCTTTGGGGCTTACTCCACCGTATGTGATAAAGCAAACAGGTTATCCATTGAGACCTGATCCCAAGGCTGGCCTTACCACTAGGCAACCCTCAAGTCCGTTCTCTGAATAAATAAATAAATACACAGGTGGTTGCCTAGGACAGCATTGTGTAGGGGCATCGTTTTATGACAAGGCAGCCTATGGAAAGGGTTTCCTTTCCTAAGCACTTTTGCTCTTGGTGGAGGGAGGGTGGGGAACCTAGTGGGGCAAGGAGGTCAAGCCAGCCGCAAGGGATGAACAGGATTCAAGAGAGTGTCAGGAGAGAGGGAGGAGTTCAGTGGACTCAATTCATGTAGGGAGAGAGAGAGACGTTAAGGGATAGTAGCTCTTTCAGGCGTCTGCAGGGAGAAGGTGTCACTGAAAGGCGTCAAGAAGAAGAGGTGAGCCTAGACGGCACACTTCTCAAGTGCTTTGTATGATGACTTCTATCCTGTAGCTGCCAACATTTCATTTACTCTTCATCGGAAAGGTGAGAATAGGCGAAGAAATCTGCAAAGCCAATGTGGGAAGGCAGATTTTTTTTTAAAAAAAAACAACAACCATAAAATGCAAGAATTCTTTCATCATGGAGAGATATGGGGATAAACCTTGAGGTGGTGGGCCGTACATCTCAGTAGGTAGTTTAACTATTGATAGAGTTGTCCTGCACAAATTCGTACAGTTCTTTTTTTAAAAAAGCCCTCTAAACTCATGGCCATCCCTCCATCTTGTGGCAACGAGTCCCATAAATTAGTTTTGTGGTGCATGGATACTCCCCTTTGCTTGTCCTGGACCCAACACCAATCATTTTCACTGAATGACTCCAAGTATATTGAAAAAGAGAAAACGGGGTGTATCTATAACTGCATATCAGCCACTGGAAAAAAAAGCCATCTTGGGTTGCCTTCTGGACAAAAACGGTGCTATGAATTGGCCCTCAGCACTACTTCATACATTACTGCTTACTCTGTGCAGGAACCAGCAACACACGAAGCGTCCCTCGTGTTCTAGTAGCAAGTCAGAAATATCAACCAATCACAATGAACAAACACATTCTAATTTCTGTCTTGCAAATGCCCATTTGGGCCTTTGTATTTAATTCCTGTCATTCCGGCCTTCCTCCATCCAACATCGATATTCAGCACTCATTGATCACCCATTACAATTCTGTCTTCACAACAAGAGATGATCAAAACATGAGGGTGGAAAATCAACAAGCCTTACTGACTCTGGCAGCAAAGCCGTTGTTGCCCAGCCCTACCTAGTAGCACAATTATTTATGGGCAACATGATGCTGGTCACTGCGATATAGTTAATCACCGCATAACAGCGGGAATCCATTCTCTGAGCAATGTTAGCATGGCCTTTGACCAAAATATATGAAATGCAAGTGCTTAATACAGCCATCTTGTCCTGTCTCTTCTATCACCTGCATTCAAAGCAGGAGGCTACTGCAAGGAGGGATGCAGTCCACAACAATACAGAGAGCAGCTACCAGTTGCATACAAAATCGCAGGGACTCCGTTCCACCCCTCCCCACCCCCTTCCTGGCATTTGATTCGACTCCATGGCCACTCGTTAGCACCCACTGACAGTCAACCTGGCGGTTTCCTTTCTCCTTCAGCCAAATCGGCTTTCCCAGCTTGATTTCTCACGGTAGACAAAGCACCCGAACGCGATACAGAGAGGCCCCGAGCAAAGCGCAGAGCGGGTCTCTGTCCATGGTGCTGAAACTCAGTGAGCCGCGGCGGCCGGCAGATGGCGCCGTTCGGCGTATTACACACACAAACACACACACACGCGCAGCGCCTGATCGAGGAGGCGCCCAAGCGAGTCTCCCCCGAAACGAGTTTCTCCAGGACGCTCCGGGACCGCTGTTCCGCCGGATCGCACGCCGCGCAACATGAACCTCGGGAAATCGCCGGCCTTTCAGAAACGGAGCCCCACTGCTTCGGAGGAACGCGCTCGCTTCTTCGCCCCTGCCCGCCCCCTTTTCCTCCCGGGGAGCACTCACCATGTTGACTTCCGAGACCATGTCGATGCTGGCGATCACGATGCTCATCCCGACGCCGACGGGAGAACCTGGAAATCGAAACGGGTGGTTCTCAATGGCCCCCGGACAAAAGCCAACGGGAAGTCCGTCCCGTGGCCCCCGCGCCTCGAAACCTAGTGCTCGGAAGGGTAGGTGTGTCCTTCCGGCCTAAGAGTTCTGTGGGACTCGGAAGACGGCTTTCCCTGCCCAGGCGAGCCCCGCTGGGACAATGAAAAGGGTTGGTGGCATCAGTTGAGGTCTGCTCGCTTTGGAGGCAGGGTGGGTGTGCGAGGGGGTGTAAGAAAGGGAGCCAGAGAACGGGGGTGGGGGGGGTGACAGAGAGCTAGCTATTAAGCCCCCTTTGCGACCCGATTCGCCTTTGCATCTGACCTCCGCCTCTCCGGGCGACGCCGCGCAGCCCCGCGATTTCCCCTTGTAAACAAATCTGCGGGAAACGAATTTACCTCCGAAGTCCGGCCTCAGGCGAATGTCGTATCCTTTGAGCAATCTGTCCACCGTCTCTTTCACGTAGGACATGTTGCTGGGCTCAGTCTCGCTGGGGAGGGAGCAAGAAAAGGGGGCAGGATTAGGAAAGAGCCCCCTTGCCCCCCTCCAACCCACCCCCACCCTACCGATCTCCCAGCAGAGAAGCAAATCCGTGGCGTGGGGCTCCCGAAGGGAGAAGGGGAGCGATCCTTGCCCGCCCGCCCGCCAGGCGCCGGCCTCACCTCTTGGCATGGCAGACCAGGGCGACCATCACCGGGAAGAACCAGATCCCCGCGCACTCCGGGAGCTGAACTGCCCGCATTCCTTCCTTCCTTCCTTCTTTCCTTCCTTCCTTCCTTCCTTCCTCCGGGCGGAGAGAGTTGCTGCCTCTCTCTCTCTCTCTCTCCCTCCACCCCAGCTCCCCACCCCCCCTTCCGCGAAGATTCAAGGAATGCAACTTTCAATCCACAGGCAGGGCTCTGATGCCGGAGACGGCGGCGCATGCGCGGAGGCCCTTGCCCCCCCCTCCACGGACACCTTTGCGCCGCGGCACCTCCGTCAGGTCAGACAATTAACCCCGACGGGACCTTGGGAGTGCCCCGCGCGGCTTCTGCGGGCTGCGGACTGGCGCGTCGTGCCGCGGACGGGAGGGAGTCGTCGGGTCTCCGCGCAGCTCATCCTGGCTGGAAGCTGCCAGTGCCGGGTCTCCGGCCAGCAACAGGGACGACGGAATCCGTCAAATGACAGCCGGGGCCCCCGCCCCACCCCTGCACCTCCCCCCTTCGTTCTTCGCTGACCCTCGCCGGGGGAGACAAGGGCCTCGCTTCCCTGCCTCCAGCCTCAAAGGGGCGTCCTACTCTGTAGGCGGTTGGAACCGGCTAGGATGGAAACCGGCCCTGCCTGCCGTCCTCTTTTCCAGGGTGTACGGAAGGGAATGACAAGAATGCCCATTGGGAACAGTGGGAGATGCCTGAAGGCCCATTGGATATAATGGGAGCCAGGAATGCCAATTGGCTTGCATGAGGTTCCATTGGGATACCTTACAGGGAAGCTGCAAGGAAACTGCGGAAGGGATTTAGAGAAATTCTGCTCTGGGCCTGGAATGACAGCTCTCAGAGCAGAATGGCAGTACAAGGGAATGGCAGAAGTGTTCTGGGACTGGAATGTGACCCTCAATGTGGAATGACAGTCCTGGGTTCAAATAAACAGCTCTGGAACTGGAAGGATGGTCCCTAAGAATGGTGTAAGAATTTTGGGGCTAGACAGCCCCAAAGTGGAATGATGGCCCCTGGGACTGGAACTGGTGTTCTCGGACTGGAATGACAGTGACCAGAGTGGAATGACGGTCCCCGGGAGCAGATAAACTGCTCTGGGCCTGGAATAACAGTCCCCAGAGTGGAATGATGGTCCCCGGGAGCAGATAAACTGCTCTAAGTCTGGAAGTACACCCACTAGTTTGGAAGGATAGTCTGTAAGAGTGGCATAAGTGTTTTGGGACTAGAATGACAGCCCTCAGATTGGGATGATGATCTCTGGGACTGGAAAGCAGTCTGGAGCTGGAATGTCAGCCCCCCCACAGTGGGATGAAATAACCTACATTTTAATTAAAGTTTCTGAAGGTTGTACAGTGATCCCAAAAGCGAAAACTCCACCTAGAAACTGGATAAAAGTAAACATTGTTTTGCACAGGAATTGCCAATGGAGGAGGAATACGGAACGAAAACAGTTTCCTGGTTCCTTCCAGAAACAACACCAGCAACTTCTTCCCATGGCTTCCAAATTCACATATAGGAACAACCTCTGCTACAGTACATTTTTTCATTAGCTGATAAAGATTCTGGCAGTTGATCAAAAATACCCAGAATGTTCATGGCTTGGGCATTTGTCATTCCAGTCCCAGGAACTGTCATTCCAATCTGGGTGCTGTCATTCCAGGCTCAAAGCCATTTATTTGGTCCCGGGGACCATCCTTCCACACTGGGGCCTGTCATTCTAATTTCCAGAGCAGAATTCTCAAAATCCTATCCACATTTTCTTGGCAACATTTGTGTACTGTAATGTATTTCAACGGAGCCAATGCAAGTCAATTGACATTCCTGGATTTCATTATATCCAATGGGCCTTCAGGCATCTCCCACTGTTCTCAGTAAGTATTCTTGTCATTCATTTTAGTACATCCTCTTTTCTTCCTCCCACCCCTCCCTGCAAAGTCTGGGACAGGAGTAGGTCAAAGTGGGTGGTGGAGATCACCAACTGCAACCTGGACAAGTGAGGTGCTGGCTGCCACCAGGCCCAGTCCACCCAATGCAGCCAACAGGAGAGAAAAACCCCTACAAAACAAGGGCATTTCTTCATTGAAGAGAGTGGTGAGGAGACAGCTGTGTGACTTATTTTTGCCATTTTGCCTGCCGAGATCCTAAAGCCAAGCATGCTGGGTTTAGCGAGTATTCTACATTGGGTTGCAGATACCTGGCTTGTTCTTCTCATGCCAAAACCTGGGGAAAGTGATTTGATCGAGGAAATTCAGACCGGGCACCAGCACAACAAAATGCCGTCAACTAATGCATGTTATGGGCATAAGGCAGCACATGCACTCAAAATGCAGCTGATTTTCTACCCATTCATAGAATCATAGAATCGTAGAGTCGGAAGGGACCTCCGGGGTCATCTAGTCCAACCCTCTGCACAATGCAGGAAATTCACAAATACCTCCCCCCCCACTGCCAGTGACCCCTGTTCCATGCCCAGAAGATTTGTTTTTAAAAAACCCTCCAGGATCCCCAGCCAAAGTGGCCTGGAGAAAAATTGCTTCCTGACCTCAAAACGGCGATCAGCATTTCCCTGGGCATGTAAGAAAAGACCACAAGAACTAAGCAGTGATGCAACCCTTCCTGCTCTCCCTTCTTGTGATCTGTCTAAGTTCACAGAATCAGCATTGCTGTCAGGTGGCCATCTAGCCTTTGCTTGAAACCCTCCAAAGAAGGAAAGCCCACCACCTCCCGAGGAAGCTGGTTGCACTGAGGAACTGCTCTGTCAGGAAGTTCTTCCTAATGTTTAGGTGAAAACTCTTTTGCTTTATTTTCAAACCGTTGGTTCTGGTCTGACCTTCTGGGGCAACAGAAAATAACTCCGCGCTGTCCTCATTCAAGAGAAGCCCAGCAACCCAGAAAATTGTGAGCCATACTGAATGCCACCAGCGACGCCCAATACAAAACACTGCTTGTTTTGAGTCGTGAACAAATAATCAGGGCAACAGTATGGAGCATTCAGTTACCGAGTAAACAGACACTGTAAGTGAGGAAAGTTCAGTTTTGAAACAAGTTCTTTGCCAAAATCAAATCATTACTAATTTCATGATTCACAATTGAATGTGGCTTGTAACAACCTAAGAAGAGTTGTGCTTGGTCAGACTGGTGGTCCTCTTAGTCCAGCATCCTTTTTCACTCAGTGGAGAATGAAGGGCCCTGGAGAGAAGAAGAAGAGGAGGAGATTGGATTTATACCCCGCCCTTCACTCGGGGTCTCAGAGTAGTTTACAAACTCCTTTCCCTTCCCCTCCCCACAACAGATGCCCTGTGAGGTGGGTGGGGCTGAGAGAGCTCTGACAGAAACTGCTCTTTTTCAAGGACAGCTGTTACCAGAACTATGGCTTGTCCAAGGTCATCCAGCAGGTGCAAGTGGAGGAGTGGGGAATCAAACCTGGTTCTCCCAGATTAGAGTCTGTGCACTTAACCACTACACCAAACTGGCCAATAAACAGGACACAGAGGCTGAGGCCTTCCCCTGATGCTGCCTCTTAGCAGCGGTATTCAGAGGAATACCATTCTCAGTATGCTACTCAAATGGAAGAGTGTTCACCAATCACTGGTGCTGGGTAATCAAAGAGAGGAATCCTACTCAGCTCTGTTCAATAGGGCTTGCTCCAGCCCTGTAGCTAGGGAATTATTTGGGAGGGGGCCTCTGGGGGCCCGCCAGCTAATTAAATGAAAGTACAGTGCACGTGGTAAGTTGGAGCACTTCGGGGGCAGCCTGGGAGAGAGGGGGCCCAGAAGAAACACTAGGGGGCCGGGCCCCGTGAGCCCCATGTTAGCTATGGGCCAGGCTTGCTCCCAGGACAGTGTTCTTAGGGCTGCATTGCAAGTCCTCTCCACTATGCCTCCTTATGTAGTAGGGGATTGTGGGGCTGAGCAATGGTAAGACCTTGATTTGTTCCTAGCTTTAACCAGTGAACAGATTAGACCAGGGTTGGCCAAACTTGCTTAACATAAGAGCCACATTGAATAAGCATCAGAAGTTTGAGAGCTGCAAGACATAAACAAATATTACACACACACGTTTTGATTGAAAAATATGCAAATTTGCTTTTTATTAACATTAAATGAGGCTGCCCAAAATCAAGGTGAGAGGTGAGATGTCTGATGACTCTGGACTAACACTGTGGCAGCAACACTAAAGGAAGGCGTCCCTCTCTCAGGTGTGCAGTCTCAACAGGTACTCCCAGGTCTCCATATTATATAGTCCCTTTGCACAGTTCATATTCCATAAAAACACATTGATAGGCTTGCAGGGCAACAACCTTTATATATTTTCCACCAACACCTTTAAAAGTGGTGTAAAAATAGTTCATTAGTATATGGATTTGTATTCTTCCTTAGTCAAGCCCTGTATCTGGAATTTTATATGGACTAAGCAGGCTTCTGGGAACGAAGTTACATCAGTGACTCCGACTCCTCCTCAGTAACACCATGGAGATAACATTTACCCTTCTCTACTTCACAAACACCCCAATTCCATTCTTCATATATTCCCTTGCTCAGTGATCTCAGAATGGGGAACTGGGATTGCTAAAAATCACATAATTTTGTGCAAGAAGAGGTAAAGATTGTATCAGTCACTGAATTAACTGTAAGAAAAATGGCAAGCTCTGGAACTCTGTGTAGGGTCTTTATTTTATCCACATCCCCAAGATGGAAAATGAGAAAGAGACAGAATTCTGTGTGTATTCACATAGGCTTGTGTGACAGCTTCTCCTTTATGAGCCAGTATGGATTGGTCACCAAGTTTTAATTTGACAAAGAGGCCCTTTCCACACTCTCCTTTTAATCCATGTTCACTCCAAGCAATTCTGCACTAAAATCAAATTCAACCTTCTTTTTAATCCAGTCTTTCCCCTCATTCTGCACTAAAATCAAGTTCAACCTCCTTTTTATACCATCCCCCCCATTCTGCATTACATCACTTCCTTTCAGTGGTCAGCCTGGTTCCAGCTTCCTGTTGCCATTTATTG